CCAAACACTGGCTGTAGACAGGGTCTTTTATGTTTTTTGGGAGTTTCAGGGCCACCATAGTTTCTACTACACACTTCACAGCCCGTTCACATTCCCATGTCGTCAAATACGGACACCAGAGATGATCTGTTAGTTGCAATCTGCAGCTTCACCCCCACATGCCACTAAATCCTACACACTGGTCGTTTAAGGCCAGTATTGTGAAATAATATCAAGACTTCCTCCATGTTTCATCTTGCAGTCCATCAACTGCTGTTGCTGTCATTTTTCTCACATTGTCAGCCCACCAGAACTGTCAGAGCTGCTCTCTCAGACCTACAGTCTCTATCTCTCTGCCCTTGAGTCCAGGTAAGCTGCTTGTCACATTATCTTGTACTGATGTCCCACAGCAGCACATCCAGCAGTCAGTGTCGACCTGTTGGCTCACATTTCCTTCCTGTTTACCACTCGCTTCTCCTGACCTGCAGGGGTCACGGCTCCATTGTGTGTCCCCTGGCTTGTGTTACCTACTGGCTTCCCCAACCTTGTCCTGCTTTCAGTCATGTACCCTAACCCTGCCCCATCCCCCACACACATTCTCACTGCTCCACCCAATGTCTGCAGAGGATCGGAAACTGATAACAGCAGATATTGATACATGATGATCTAATTAGCTCTTTGTCTCTCTGTGCATGTCCAGTGTTTTTGTCTTGGCAGACAACAGTTTGTCTATAAATAACATGCTCTGGTATGCACATACATTTCTATGTACAGTACATACATAATTAATATAAGTTAATTCAAATGGTGTATGTCTAAATTAGGTTTCAAAACATTTCATCTAATTCATTTTCTTTTGAACAATGTCCTCAATAAAGTTTTTTTCATTATAATGTTGACATTACTACACCTCCTATATGCATGGATGCCCAAAATTTGCTTTTGCATACTTTTAAAGATTTCAACCCAGTCTTTCTTTTTACATTTATAATGATTTATACTATTTATAACAATGTTAAGTTCAAACTAAGACTTATGCTTGAGCACACCACTATCTTTTTAGACTGTAAGTATGTACAAGTACGCTCAAATACACATCATTACTTCTGAATGTTATCGCTATCTCTCAAAGGATCCCTCCAGCTTTGTCTTTGCTCATACTCACATACATAATTGTAACTTGCAGGATGTTAAAAGCTTGTTTCACTCTACTTTATACTTGATCTTATGTACATCGCTGCATGTTTATTGCAAAACACTAAATGATTTATGGATTTGAGGTATAAAAATGACTGATATTGTCTGAAATGGTCACTGCTTATAACATATGAAATTGTGAATAAATCAGGTTGGCCTTGTCAGAGTTATATCACTTCATAGTGACTGTGACAGTGATATGACAAGACACACATTTGGCTGAAGAAAGAACGCTCTTACAACTGAAAATCTGAATCAACACATACCACACTTTTAGCCACGACCTCCTAATACCAGGGTTTGCCCCATAGCTCTGAGTAGCAGGTGTCTGCTGTAATAGTCAGCTTCTCCCTGTAATATACAGGTAATTGAAATGACACCAAGGTGGAACCAGTGAAAGAACGCATGGGACTGTATTTTGGCGCCTCTAGTGGGTGGGTGAATAGTGAAGTAGTTGTTAGTTTTAATCCCCTGAATCCTGTAAGTGCAGAGAATGAAAAAGCTGTATGCTATTTAAAGTCTCTTGGAGGAGGCATGCAGAGTTGTGAGATGGTCAATCTGTCTGAGAATTTGGGTGAGCGTGATAAAATGATTCTTCTTTAATATCCTGAGCAAGCTGTTCTGAGCTGCCAAGGAAACCTGGCAAAGGAATACATGTAATGCTAGCATTCTCAGCTACAGCATTCTGCAGAGTTTGCATCTCTTAATCGCACACAAACATTCTCACTCACACTGATTCCTGTATTAACAACAACCCTGATGTGCGTGTGTTTATGTGCATACTTAGGATTATGTGTGTTTGCATGGATGGTCATCTGTGTCTGATCTCATATTTGATTTTTGCAAATGCATTGGGTTTGTGTGTGCGTGTGTGTGTGTGTGTCTGTGTGGTTTGTTACCCCAGCCTGAGCAGCACCAAGGTTCAACTGGGTTTATTTACAAAGCTGAGGTCAGGTGTCACTCGATCCAGCCGCGGTGACACTCAGGTGGCCATCAAGGTCACCTCCTCTGCTTTTTCCCTGCACTAGCTATCTCACTGTATAAACTCTCTCACACACACACACATCTGTACTGTATTTACACCTCCATCAGAAACCCTGGGTTTTCAGGATTCTTACTTATCATATATCTGTGTGTTAGGTACGGGTAAGTGAGGAGCCCACAGAATTGTAAAGAAAATGGTGTGTTTGTTTTGTGCATAGGCACATCTGGATCATCATGTATGGATCCCACTCTCATGAAACATTTCAACGCTCCCTTGACTATACAGTTTTCTTTTCTTGGCACACCTGATGTCATCTCAAACCACATCAAGAAGACATACTGTTCAGAAACACACAAACATGTACACTTGAATAGAAATAACGAAAAGAACTGCAGTTTTTTGGATTTTATTATTTTATTTTCTCAGTAATTTGGTAAATTGTACATTTATTTGTGAAATACCGCTTTATGATCTCTGTAAAACATATGAAAAAAAAAACTAAAAACATGATGAAAATGTGTATGTCTGTGGACCAGAGCGAATCTTGCAAAATAAAAAGAATCAAAAGAATTTATCTAACCAGATGGAAAACGACTAAATCTAAGAGAGCCCTTATAGCAGTGGAATAGAGGGAGGAGGTTGGAGGCGGGGTCTCATTGAGTTGGAGAGATGAGGTCCAGTTGTTTAGGACATGACCATGGCCTGGAACTCTGTAGAGAAAAAAAAACATGAGTAAGATGTGACACCCGATAATTTATCTCATCTGTCTGATACCAGCCTCAACTAGAAAATGTGTGTTTTATATTTAGCAACAATAAAGATATGAAACCACTAGAGAGGTAGAGCTAGCACTGTAAGTCAGTGGCACTGTTGTGCTCTAAAGTTGAGCAAGTCTGAAGTTGAGCATGTCAATGATGTGATTTGTCTAATCAATTAAACTAAACATGCTACTGAAGGACAGAAAAGGGAGTAGAACTATGTATGCTACGTCAAACTCCCCCCTTTCTCGTATACTGACCCCCTAAAACAAACCAGACTGTTGTAAATACAACAAATTTAGTCAATCTGCAATCTAATTGAAAACATAACATTTTTTTTTTTTCTAATCACACATACATATATCAAATATCTTATATCAAATAAGTCTCGATCCTCTCACCATCTGCTCCAATCCGGCCATCGCTGTCGTCATCAGCAGCACACAGGAAGTCCTTGATCTCCTTGTCTGTCAGAGCGCGAGCCCCAGGGGAAAACCTCTGGAGGAAAAACCTGGCATACATAAAGCCACGGGGAAGAAGTTAAAGTCAGAGTAACAACTGGACACATAGCAATAACCATAAAGGCAGAAATCGGTAACAGACACAGAGGTTCAATCTGTCCTACAAAAGCTACAGTTATCAAGTATTTTGTGCTGCCGTACAGCCAGGAACACAATTTCTAGTGAGCAGACAGTCTATTACAATGGTTACACATTAACAGTCGCCTTCCCATAAGTGGTGTTAAAGTTTTTGCATCGGTTATGTTCTGAGGGTGAAAGATATAAAGGTGTGTGCAGACTGTGCTTCAGTGATCCGTTTGACATATAATGTGGAAAACAATGTGAGTTTGTGTCAATAAGTTGGATAAACTAATGATGTACGAGGATCTTCTTAACATGCAACATGAAAACTGAATTGAAATGTGATTATTTCCCAAGACAACTTCTAGTCTCTCCTCCTGTCTAAGGGACCGGCAAATACAGCCAAAGTCTGTCGTTAATGAAGCGGCCACTGACTCACTTGAGCTCTTCCTCCTCAATGAAACCATTGCCATCGTTGTCCAGGATCCCAAAAACCTTCTTCACATCCTGGGGGCTCTTCTTGGTGAGGCCACACACCTGGAAGAACTTCTTGGGGCAGAAGGAGTCTGGGGCTGAAGGAGGATACAGAGTCAGGAACAGCAAGAGCTAATTTTCCATATTTGGTAGTCAAGTTTTTTCACTAAACTAGAATGAAGACAAAGTCTCTGGAAGATCAGACAGTTTAAATTGTGGAGACATGATAACATATGTTGTTGGTATGTTAGATCATCTTAAGGTATTATTAAGTGTGCTGTAAATTATCTAACCTTTTCTTAGTATGGAAAAATATTCATCCTCAATGCTCCCTGTGGAATATTTTGTATTTTATCACCTCCAAAAATAAAACAAACATGTCTGGAGTTGTGCCTAATTGATGCTGTTAAATTATCAATAAAGCCTTAACCATACTGTATTTAACTTGGCCCCTATGCATCTTTCCCTATCAACATTTTCACAGTCTTCTTGGAGGCATAACATAGAGACAACCAGTCTGACTGCACAGACTCCAGTAGAAATACTGTATAGAACTTTAAAAAAAAAATCGAATAAAGAGAGCAATAATGATATTGGTGGAAGACGATACCTTGGCAGTCCTTGATAGCGCTGTCGATGGCATCAGCGGAGAGGATAGATGAGAACGACATTTTATTCCTGTAAGAGGAACAAACCATGGTGAATTATTAACATATGTGGCCGTGCAGGTACAGGAGCAAAAAGTCTAACTTGACACTGGTGGAGACAAGGAGGTGTCCGGGTGACATTACTGACCGATAAAGTCAGGAGAGAGAAAGCCTTTAAATCCTAGATTCTTATTCAAATTAGAATGTAAAATAATTGCTCCGCTAAGTTACAGTCTCAGCCCACACATTAGACATTATAAAACTTTCTCGCTTTGGCTTTTTCTTTTCTTTTTTTGGTCACCCCCGACGCAAATCAGTCTCCTCTTTTACGCACGCCATTATTTCACCTGCCATCTAACTTAAAGCAGCATCGGAAGCGCTCTAAAGTGCGCTCAATAAACCGGAGCCAGAGAATCCGTCTCTACAAAATCTTTCTAAAACAACCTTTTAAAAAGAAGCAAAAAGCAAGAAGCAGCCACTCTCCGTCATCAAAGAGGGCTTAGCAACCTCCCTGCATCCACAAAGCAACTTACCGTGTTAGGGGGGTGTTCTCGGCGGGTCGGTGATCCTGCAAGAGAGGTAAGGCTATGTGGTGACTGTTGTCTGTCAAGGCGGATTTATATAGGTCTGATTGCAGTGACAATAGGGATTGCTTGAGTTACCTGTCTATGGATCAAATTCTAACTGCCCGCCCCTGATCCAATTTCTCAGCTAACTAATTAACCTTTACTATTTATAACGCCCGGGGACACAAAGACCGCACCGTGGACATCTGTAACGCCCTTGTAAATAGCAAATTAAGTTAAAAAGCGCATTCTTCTCTCCATCCGCCACTCCCTCCCGTCATCCCCGCACCCCACCTCCTCTCACCTCTAGAATTATATAGTACAGTAAATGCAGGGAGGCTGCAACTGCAATCTCTCTCTCTCTCCGTTTCTCCCTCTCCTGCTGTTTCTGCACCCCCCCCAACCACCCCCACCCTTTCATGCAGATATCCTTTTACAGGCAGCAGTCCCAAAACGAGCACATCTAAGCCACGTTCCCGCTGCAAATGTGCCCTTATTGTTACACTTGAGGTGAGTTATGGGAAATAAAATGTCCCTTTAATGACCCTTTGGTGACCCTTTAATATCATATTTGTTATAGTATTGCGGGAGGACTGTGTCAATGGCGTTAGTGTGAGATTATTAGTCATACCTGAGAGGTCGGCCCATACACAACCTGGCATTCTGAGGCGCTTCACCTGCCCAGGTCGGCCTTGGATACATTGAGTATCTACCTAGTTGCCTCAGATTCACAACAGATGGGGGTTAATATTATTTCCAACCAAATCTAATATAACCCCAAACACATAGCTGTTCATGCTGAATGTCAGGGACGCTTTAGAGCCTTCTCGCTCTCTCATACTGACATGGGGGACAGTCTCACTAAAATGCTTTGTCAACTGTGCTGATTAAGGGACCCGAGGTCACCCTCTGATGCCGGTGTCCCGTCCAGCCTTGATGGTGATGATGATGCATTATGTGCAGTGTCCCAGGTATTCACATGCACTGTTTGAATAGAGGTATAGCCTACCAGTCTGAGGTCATACAGGGTTGAACGTAGGCTTCATTTCTGCTGGTGTTGATCATCTTGTTTGTTCCTGTTTTCTGAAAAGCCAGGGCTGCGCAATGGCCTTTTTTCTGTCCAGTTTGTTGCAAAAGGACCACATTCAGGTTGTCTTTTTTATTTTTTTATCGAGGGCATATATGGCCCCGGGTGGGTCTGACATACAAACACATTCAGGGGTCATTAAGCACATTTCTGGGAGAGTGTTCCCTGCGGCAGCTCACGGAAAAGGAAGGTTATTTCTCTCCAGGATTTAAGGTTAGCTGAAGTTGCGCATAATGCAGCAGTGTATGGGGTGGAGAAAGGCAGTGCTGAAACTGTGTCAACATTTTCAAATGAATTCATAGTCGTTGCACACAATATTAAACCTGCAACCCAAACATTAGATGCTTCAGTTTATTAAACAGTCCCGCAGAGATGTCTCAGGATTCAGAGGGCTGTGTGTCCAAAATATCTGCAGCCTGACTCTCTGGGATATCCTTGAATATAACAAAAGGCAGGGACACGGGAGCCCCCGGCCAGCTTCCTCACATTAAGGAAGTCAGCCACTTAATGCGCGTGCGAGTGTGCGTGGGGCGCGGGCGACTCCTGGCAGCTCTGAGCTCTCGCACGCGTCAGCTGGCGACCGTGAGCTGCGGGAGACGCTGGCCCTGCAGCGGCGTCATGACACACGCTAAAGATCCTTTTAAACTTTATTTAAGAGGCCTGTAGACAGAAAACGAATGTGGATAGAAATCACTTATTATACTTGGATCTTACTTATTTATTCTTTTTTTATGTATGTCTTTTTCTTATGATGTGATTAAAGAGCAGGTGACTTTTACGCACAGTGGATGCAAGGTTTTTGTTTTGTTTATTTATCTGGCAGCATCCTGGCGTCTTTCATCATTGGATAAAAGCTTGTATCTCCGGTGGTTTGTCATTGTCAATCTTTCCTAAACCTAATCCCAGCGCCAACTTGTTAATGGGGCCCCTCAACAAGTGATGCCCGATAGTCTTCATTCTCGTGAAGCTGCACTCCTGAGCAGGTAAAGAGAAACTCAATCATCTCCTCCAGGCTGTGTGTGAAAAAGAGACTGAGGACACCGGATCGAGAGCAGCGGTGCGGCTTTACCCACACCCGGTGCATGATGTCATGCGCCATGTTGATACCGCACAGACTATACGGTTACTGCGCGATCATTTATTCATTTACATTTGCTAATGTTCTTTAGAAGCCTCGCTCCTGTACATATACACTGGCGTATAGATCCTCCTCCTTCAGTCTGAGACAGGATTTAACTCTGTCAGTTAACAGAATTGTTTCTTCCTGATATGTATGATGAGTTCAATGTGAATTGGGGTCCTTTAGTTAAACCCAGGCTCCTCTTCCTGGGATGCGCGAAGAGTGGGAATCAAATGTCCAAAGGGTGTTTGTTTGTTTTTATCGCCAAATGATTTACTGTAACGTGTTGTCTCTGTCCCAACTTCTACTCTTAATGGACTTGACTCCATCTAGTGGCTGCAGGGTGGAGTTGCATGATTGTACCCCAACCCACACACACGCACACACACACACGTACACAGCACGATCCTCCCTTGGTAAATGGGACTCCCTGCGCACCCGAACTCGTCCGTGGATGAGTGTGTAGAATAAAGGAGGAATGCAAATGGCAGGTAGAGAGATAGATAGAGAGAGAGAGAGAGAGAGAGCAACTCCCACGCACCGTTTCCGATGCAAGCGCACAGTTCTGTCCCCTTGATGCAGTCTCTCCACAGCCTCACACTCACAACACTGTGTGACTGGCTGTCGTCAGCGGCACAGGCAATCCGCTTGCTGGAGGGAGGGACGGAGATGATCGGCGGAACGCACTCTGTCCGGTGTCCTACTCAAGTGTGTGTGTGTGTGTGTGTGTGTGTGTGTTGCGTTTGTCTGTTTGATCGCCTTACGCATGCAGTCTATCCATTAGCTGGTTTATTTATCTAGAGTCTCTGCGTTTCGTTAACCAGCCATATCTGTCCAGATTTGTCTGTCCAGATTTCAGCCTCCCCTGTTGGCGCGCACACAAGCGTTTACGCGCGCGCAGAAGACACGTTTTTCAAAACAGAGAATGTGTTAAATGAGGGTGAACTGAAGGAAAATAGCCCACAGTGCCCTTGCAACATGCACATGTTTTCACCGACAAGCTGCTGGCAAATAAAGAAATAAAATGAGATTTAAGTCTCTGAGACTGGAGTGGAGACAGAGGGAGGGAGGGAGGGAGTGGGGTCTATGAGAAAGTAGCAGTTCCTTTTTTGAGAGCCTGATGGCACTGTGGGCTTCAGATACTGCAGACAAACACACACACACACACACACACACACTTTCGCAATACACAGTCCTTTGCAGTAGGTGGGCCCTGGAGTGTGTTGTCTAATATCTGATCCTTTGTCTATTTCCTGTGATTTTAAAGAGAGTCTCAGTCGTAATCAGTCAGAGATTGCAGAGGGTTTTAAAGGCAGGAAGAGTAAATATGTCGATTGAGGAAACTCTTCTCTTGGCCAATCAACTGTTCTCCTTTCACCGCCTTCAGTGTGATACCAAAGTGAGAGAAGATGATGTTCCTAAATATATGATAATGGCGGGAATTCAGCATCTCTGGATCTTCCTGAATATTCTGGGATCAATTCATGATGAATTAAGTGAGTGTTTTAATGCATTTAAAGTCAATTTTAGTAGCTGAGTGATAGGACTCATTGGTAAACATGGTCCATGGTGTTCATTGATTATCTAAGGTTTGTGGGAGGACAGCAAAGCGGATTGATTCCTTAACATTCGCCTCTGCTCAACCATGATAGGGTTGGGGGTTCATTCATTTAGTCATGATGAAAAGAGGCCAACAAGACGAAGATCGAATCAGCATTCATATGTAGGTCTTGGACCAGTGTCTACGGAAGCCGAGAACGGCCATGGATTTGTTTTTTTTATGCACTGTTATCTCGTGATAACGACTTATTATCTCGTTATCTCGACATAACAAAGATCGTTATCTCGTGATAAGGAATTAATTAATAATGTGTTCGTCTTGACCTGGACAGGCCTGAAC